AAAGGAAGAATTATATTCAAATTTCAAACCATATGTTTTTATAGATTCTCAGAGTTTGGTGTAGCAATCTTTTTTTCTGAGGCTTTTCTGTACCTTTGTCCACTACTTCTAGAATTATTTTGTGGGTTGAAAGCAGAAATGTCGAGGTACTAGAACCAGCAGAGGGCATAATGGTTATGTCTCTGGACTCCCATGTAAACGACTGCGTTTAGAGTTCAGTACCTCGAGGCTTAAAACGCATGCTGGCGCATGTGCGGGAGTGCCCAAAATCCCAAGAGGAGAATGGAGGAGAAGGGATTGTAGTGTGGCCATTCCCCTGGGGGAGCGATTTCTTGCTCTCTGTGTCTCTGTCTCTCTGGTGAGTGCACATGACCTATAGCAAAAATCTCTTAAAAAAAAAAAAAAAAGGAAAGAAAGAATGTTGAGGCACCCATGAAGATTATTACAATGACTCTTGCCAGTTTTAGGCAGGTAATAGGAAAACATGACAAAAGAAGTTTTATTACCATATTTGCAGGTCAATCAAATGTTTAGAAGACTTGGAATGCTTAAAATATCAATCTAAATGTTGCATGTTCGGTAACTCTGAATTTATTTTGATTTTTGTAATGCTAGTTACTGACAGAAGGCAACAAAAGGCACTGAACAATTTTAATTATTTCCCAAGTGGTTCAAAGAAATATACCAATTAAGTATTTGTATTTGATGTTTTCTTTGCAAATTCATTCACTTTATTTATGAGAGAAAGTGTATGTACATACACAAGAGAGAGAAAGAAGGGTACCCCTGACAATGTCCTACCAATCTGCAACCCTTTCCCCGATCCTCTCAGGATCTTGGATGTAAGCACACCTGGCCCACCTGCAAGTCTACGAGGGATGTGAACTCTTGGTCGGCCATGTGTTTTCTAACACTGCAGTCCAGTATCATCCAGGCTGGGCCTGTATTTGATGTTTTCAAAATTCCATTGTTAGGGCTGACAAATGGCATGGTGGTTAAGGTGTTGTAAACCACATAGCTTACTCCATGGCTCGAGCCCTGGACCTGGCAACTTGAAAATCACACTGAGTGCGTGCATACATGCCCAAAATCCTGACAGAAGAATAAAGGAGAGGGGATTTTGGTGTGGCCATTTACCCTAGGAGGGAATGAAACCTCACTTTCCCTCTCTCTGTGTCTCTGGTAAGTGCACATGCTCTATAACAAAATATAAATGTAATTTTAAAAAATCATTGTAATTTAAGTATCATCCACCTCAAATATTAACTGAATTATTTTTAAGCATTTTAGTAGAAAATAGGGCACAGCGTAAATACTTTACTCTTAAAATAATCAGTCTAAGTGTATGTTAGAAACTAAAGTAAAAAAAAAATTTTTGTAAAACTTTGTAGTGACTAATTTAGGATACTCTACACCTTTGCTACTGATTTTGCTTTAGATCTATAGTTCCTCTAAACTAATCTAAAAAGAAAATTAGTATTTGACATCCTAAAATTTCCAGTAATTTAAAAAATGGAAATGAGTAGCACTGAAAATGTAAGATATTTATTTCCATAGTTTACTTTGTTTTTCTGTATACCCTTCTTTCTCATATTTATTTCCATAGTTTACTTTGTTTTTCTCTAAACCCTTCTTCCTGTTCTACTATTCGAAGGAAAGCCCATGTGACAATTTATAGGTTAGTCCTATATTTATTTTATATAATATCATTCACAAGTGTTATAAAACTGTGACAGGACTGGCACCATAGCACAGTGATTAAGTGCTGTATGTAAGGAACCAGCCCACATGGCTGATCACCTTTCAAATCCTGGCCATGGTAGCTTGAAAAATTCACCAGGCATGCATATGTGTGCCCCTAATCCCGAGGGAATGGAGACATGGTGGAAAAGAGATTAGGGCCTAGTCATGGGGGAAGGTGTGCTGTATTTCTGCTCTCTTTCTCTCTCTGGTAAGCGTACACATTTTCTGGTAGTTTAAATTTTTTTTAAAAGGGAAGGAAGGAAGGTAGGAAGGAAGGCCATGATTGGGATTATTTTAAATGCATTTCATTCATTTTATAAAACAAATGGCAAACTCAGTTCTTCTACATGATCTATGAAAAAGAAAATAAAATCTGACAGGCTTAGGTAAATATGAGAAATAAGAGGTAATTGGGGTCATATTAGTAATGAATCAAAATACGTAGATCAGCTTCTGGAAAAACTCTGTAGGATTTGTTCACCTGAATCCTGCTGAGATAACCACCCTGACCATGATGCCATACTATTTTCAGAGAAAGGTGCTTTCATGCTGTTATAAATTTCCACAGACTTACTGAATTATATAAAAAGGTTTTATAGAATAAGATACCATGGTGTGCCAGGGCCCCAGTGTAAAATGAAAACAAAAAGAGTTCTTCTAGAGTTTCTCTAGCATTTTGGCACTTCTGGAATAAATTAAACTCAGGTAATGCTTGACAGCATTTTAATTTTTCTTACATAATTTGAATTCTAGAAGAACAATGAGATATTATCTAGCTAACCTATGCACAACATTGAAGATAAGAGAATAGTAAAATACTACAAAAAGAGGAGGCCAGCAGGTGGTATGGTGGTTAGGGTGCTAGACTATCACATGGCCAACTGTGGTTCGAGTCCTGGACCTGGTGGCTTTCTTTCTCATTTTCTCACTCTTTTTCTGTCTCTCTCTCTCTCTGCTGAATGTGTATGCCCTATAGCAAATTTAAAAATAATAATCACAATTAATAAATAAAATTAAATATTTTTTTAAAAAATACTGCAAAAAGATAGCAAGTGCTAATTAAAATTACTGTAGCTGTTTTTTCACTTGTCAGTGTGTTGACAATGTGCCAATGTTTCCAGAATTTTACATATATTATAAATAAAACTATGTCACCTTTTAATCACCCATGTGGCCTTTCCTATCTCTCCCTAGTATCTGGGGTCAAATTTCATTTTAGGATGGTTCACAATTCTCTTGCAAATATAGGGTCCATGATACACATGCCACACATCACACATTTTCTAAGTAGTGTTATCTACTCACAATAACTTTTTTTACTTTATTTACAATACCAAATTATAATTCTTATATCTTCTTTGTTTGTTTTGTTTTGAGAGAGAGAGATTTTCGCTATAGGGCACATGTGCTCACCAGAGAGATAGAAAGTGATAAATTACCCCTGGGGTGAATGTGGCCATGCAGCAGTCTCTTATCCTCCATTCTCCTCTTAGCATTTTGGGTACACATGCATATGCTTGGCATTAGTTTAAGCTGCTGAGTCTGGGACTCAAACCACAACTGACTACTTGGGAGTGCAGCAATGTAACCATTTCGCCACCTGCTGGTCCCAATTCTTCTATCTTTCAATTTGGCTACAACCCTTAGCTCTGTCTGTATCTACCCCTAAGCATTCCCTTTCTTTTATTTCTGGAAATTATTTTCTGTCTAAGTGAATTATCCTCCACTTTGTCTGTATTGAACTCATTTTGATTTATATCTTCCCACTTCTCCAATTTGTCAAGATGTTTTGAGTTTAAATCGTATTCTACAATTGGAAAGTCAGTCCACCCAAGTAGATGTCATCAGTACATCTTGAATGAGTACAGTACTTTGTACTTATTTGAATGATTGATATAAAAGTGTCTGTTTTATGCCTGGGAGACTTCTGCCTGAATAGCCTCTCTGAAAATTTAATTTAGAAATATTGCTAACTACTGAAAGAAAATTTAATGCACAAAAGGAAAATGTGATACTAATAATTATAATTTACTTCATTTCTGGAATACCCTCTATATCATGCTAGAGCATGCTAAAATGAATCTGGTTTTTGTCAGCCTAGTCATTCATTCTAAAGCCAAAGAAATCTAAAGCCAAAGAAATCAATTAAGTAAAGAAGTCTTGGGAAATTTTTACTGATTATATTTCTGTTTCTAGATCCAATTAATTGAGGGAAATAGGAGATACTGAAAATGTTTCTAAGCATTTCTGGTTAAAATACAGGAAAAATGATCAAATTCTAAGTAGGACTTATATATTCAGTGCATGTGGAGTCAAGCATAACTCAAAATATATTATGTTAATACAATATTTGGCTTGTATCAGCAACACTCATTAGGATCGAGGATTTTGATTCACTTATTTAACTTATATTGCACATCAGAGACTGGATATTCTGACTTTAAAATAATGATTGGATAAATTTACATATATTATACATAAGTTTTAAAATATGTCTACTATCTCCTTCATTATGATAAACAATATTATTTTCTCCTCCTAATTTTATTTTTTCATCTTGGAAGATAAAGTAATAAATTTGCAATATTTTTTCAAATTAATAAAATAGCATAATGTATGCTTATTCTTAGACTCTCTTTGTGTTCCAAGTATTTACTTTTTTCTGCCACTATTATAAGTTTTAAAATGTAAATTATTAGTTGTAATCATCTGAATTTACACAAGAGCAGAAGTTGGGACTTTCTTATGTGTTGGTATTCAAATCTAAAATAATTAAAGAAATCACAGTAAAAAGGTCAAAATTATTTACAAAGGATCATTTATTAAACAGTATTTTTTTATTTTTACAAAATACAAAGATTGTTGTTCTGCATGAATACATCATATGAAAAAAAAATAAAGTGTTTTTACTGAATTTATATTTAAAGACATTCAGAATTTTGTTATCAACTTGAGGACTCAATTTTGCTTTGCATTTTGTCTAATGCCACTACCAATCAGGAAAAAAAAAAAAACTTTTCTTTTTAATTAAATCCTATTCATACCAGCTAACATCTCTTAAAGTAAAATCAATGTCTGCCATGCAAAGCTCTTCCTGCAAGGTAAACTGATTTACCTATGATTCTAAATGTTTTTTTTCAAGCTATAAGATAGGAAGAATTGAGGAGCTAGGTAAGTTTTATAATAATGTATTAGCAGCAGTTGATAGTAAATGCAACATAAGGTTTGTTTTGTCTGTGGTACAAGAATATGTCCTATCAGACTCTAGTGTATTTTTCTCTACTTGAACACAAGTAAGCACATACTGATTGTCTCTGGGATGACAAAGTGAATAAAAAAAGACAGGAAGCTGGTTCTGGTTGTCATTGTGAATGCCTATTTGCATCAGCTAATATGAATGCATTGCTAAAATTAGTGAAGACAGGAAAATGACTTAAGGGTAATATATATACAGAGTTAAAATACATTTTATTAAATCCACTTGAGTGATTTCAGGCACTGTGGCTGTTCAGGATAAAAATGTTTCATGGTTTATTCTTGATAGCAATTTAATTTTCAGTGCAAGCAAAAGCAAAAATACCTGCCCACTGTTATACACATGACCTTTTACATCTGGAATGTTCAAAGAAATTTCATCTTTGGCATCTTCACTCGGGAGACACCTGGAACAGAAATGCCTCACAGTTTGCTCTTGATAGCAATCTAATTTTCAGTGCAAGCAAAAGCAAACACACACCTGCTCGCTGCCATACACACGACCAAACACGTGTGGCCTATTCAAGGTAAGTTCACCCTCTCCATCTTCACGGTGGAAGCATCTTTAGTAAGTGGCACTTAGTGTAAACCCTCTACAAATCATGCAAAACAGGCTCTAAATGCCTGAATTCAATAATATTAAAAAGCATTGCCATAGTCATCTCTCTGTGTAAACGATGTCTGGGTAAGGCTGGTCATCACAACATTTCTTTCCTGAGAATGGAGCTGGTCCTCTCTGTGTGTATCATAAGTGTGCATGCTCAGAGCTGTGGTCGCTGTCGTGACTGTCATCGTTGACAAGAGAGTCCCCCGTTTGTTGGAGAGTGGCTGCCCCAATTCCCGAAAGCTCTGAGGGGAGCAGTGTTCCTTTTTTCACATTCACCAGTTCCTTTTCTCGAGCTGCAGCCCCTTGCTGTCCTCCTTTTACTCTCTTCCATTTCATCCGTCTGTTCTGGAACCAGACTTTCACCTGGAACAAAGGAAAGGGGCGAGCAAAGCAAAAAAGAGAATTAAAACGACATGTTTGTCTCTTTTTTTTTTCCATTATCAATGAAAAATAGTTCCTTGGAGGCTCTATGAGGACATCGTCAAGAAGTGAATATAAAAAGAAATTGATGTTGAATTTTAAAAATGTACATGTTCATAATAACAATTTTAAAACTTGGAGAAGGGTCATACAAAGTACTTTATTTGTATTTTATAACATACAATATAAAAAAACAGAAATAGATGAGAAAGAACTCTAGCTTTGAATTAAGGATGCTCAACGGTCTTGAGCACTATCAAAAGTTGCTACGAATTAGTGCAAGTATAATATTTCTCAGGTGTTTCTGGAAAGTCTGTTTCATTGGGGTTTTCATTTTGCCCATGCAGGCACTCTCACCAGAACATTTTAGGTTTGATGGGGCAAGGGATGGGGTATATATTTGGAAGCCTGTGAAGTGTCTTTTGGTCTTCAGCTCTGCTAATGCATCAGGGGTGTGGCTCAGTTGGGAGTCCTGTCTGCTCCTGCAGTCTCCCTTCCCCATTTTGGTTTTGTGACAGAATGGGACTTGGTGAAAAAGACAGCCAAAGGAAAATGGGTAGGCTTAGGATTTCCTAAGAAATCCTAAGAATCCAAGCCAAGGGTAAAATATCCTTCAATCAAAGGTACTTTATTTTTTACCAACATAATTTAGGTCTCAGCATCTCACTAGCTCCCTTGCATAAAGAAGCCTTATTCAGAACCCAGCAAAACCATGTTTGCTGCCACACCGAGGTCTGATGGCAGAGGGTGGCAGTAGTAAATGAATGCACACATCTGTACCAAAACTTGAAAATAACCCCAAAGCCAGGCTTTGCGGCTCTTAGCAAACACTAAGATTGGTCAGTGTCACTCCTTCTGCCTTGCCCTTGATTTTCAGAGATAAGGATTAGCATTCTTTCTGTGGGGTTGGTGAGCTTTGGCTCATAAAATAAAGTTGGTGCTTATTTGGAGTGTCCTTTAGCCTAATGAATGATCTATTGTTTGAATCTTTTTAACTTGTTTATATGAGTTTTTAAAAAGTTGCAAAAAATAATTTATATATAATAATATAAAATTTGTCTTGGTCAAAGACACCTCCCGCAGCCCAAGGTCTTTGACTTGACATCTAATTGTCAAGTCCTGAGCCAGTTTAAAGCATGCGGAGGGAACTACTGAAGAACCTTTATCTGAAAGGTATTTGCCACCATTACTGCCACTGTCGCTTTCACAAACTTGGAGTTTTTCCACCTCACAGCAAGTTTCTTTTCTTTCAACTGTTATTTTTTTTCCATTTTTGCCTGTAGTACTTCATTTTAACTTTCAAGTATACAATCTAGTAATTTTTTAAAAATGTAGTCACAATAAACAATTCTTGACATTTATTAAGTACTACTACTGAGATTATATATTCTATAATTCACATCAGCTTTGTAGAGATGTTTTTCTTTTCAAAGTTTCATTGAATTTGCCTAACATGGTCAACGTATTTATGTTATAAAATAAAACATAACAAAAGCATGTAGTTAATAATCATCCATTTTCAGAACCAGAATAATATTGGCATCACTTGTTTAGGAGTAAGTCTCTCCCCATCACATTGCATTTGTTATTGTGTATTCTTAATAATCTAAGAGTTCCTTTTGCCTTATATTTCTCTATCACACTCAAAATCACCACAAGTTTGAATTTTGTGCACCGTCCTCAAGCTTTCATTTAAGAAACAAAACAAAACAACAAAAAAACTTCTTTTATAATATGTGAGCCTAAAAATACACTTCAATTCTTCTTGTATTTTAGGCTTTTCGCTCTGTCCTTGTTGATTCATGAGACTATATTTATTCATGTTTTACTATCAGATACTATTTCTAATTGTATAATACCATTTGTCCATTCTACTGTCCATGGGCACTTGAACTACTTTCTTTCTTTCTTTTATAAATAATGCTGCTAAAGAAATTCTTATACTTATGTCTGATAAACATGTAATAGAACTTCTCTGTACGTATATCCACAAGTTGCATCTATGGTGCAATCGTAAGTAAATGTCCATCTTAACATAATAATATAGGGATCAGCAGTTAGCGTAATGGCTATGTCGCTGGACTCCCATGTAGTCGACCATGGTTCACGTCCCGGACCCGGTGTCTTAAACTCACTCCGGGTGCGTGTGCGTACGTGCCCAAGATCCCGAGAGGAGAAGGGATTGCGGCATGGCCATCTCCCCTGGGGGTGATTTCTCACTTTCTATCTCTCTGTCTCTCTCTTTCTGTCTGGCGAGCGCACGCACCCTACAGTGAAAAACCTCTCAAAAAAAAAAACATAATAATATAGAGAAATTGTTCTCCCAAGTTGTATAAGCTGAACTCTCCTACCCACTCTGGTGTGTAAAAGTTCTGATTGATCCACATCTTCACTAACATTTCAAATGATCAGTCTTAATTTTTTTTCCCAATACAACCATTAAGCGTTAGCTCATCATGATTTTATTTTGTATTTCTTGACTGCAAATGGTTGTTAAAATATTTATGGCCCATTTGTTTTTCTTCTTTGCTAAATGCTTCTACATATCCAATCTTCATTGAATCCTTCTGAAATGTAGTCTTATTTCTAGACTTTTACAATATATTCTAAAGTCTAATTTAACACTTTACAGTTATAGGTCTGCTACTATTGGGTTTCTGAAAAACCATGACACATTTTTACGTAGAAAAATAGAAAAATACATCATGTCTTTTCTGACAACCCAATATCTCCTCTTAGTTATGCTGTTTCTTTTTTCTTTCTTATCATATATTTTGATAAGAACCTCTTAATATACACAAATACATCAGTTGTCTCAATTGCTAGTTCTTTTGTGTCTTCCTCTAAAAATCTTCTCTTTGCTGGGATCACGAAGATATTGTTCTATGTCTTCTAAAATTTTTAAGGTTATGACTTCCAAAATGAAGTGGTTAATTCACAAAGTATTGATTTTAGTCTATGCTGCAACGAAAAGGCCTAAATTTACTTTATTCCATATTTATTACCAAGATAACAAGCTGTCCTAGGTTCATTTATTAAACAATCCACCCTAATTCCAGTGATTGCTGTTTAAACTCTCTCATAAACCAAATTTCTTAAATACATGGCTTTATTGTTTCATTTTTTGTTTAATTATAATTTTTTTCTATATCTGTGATAAAACTGCACTGTCCAAAATATTATAGCTTTATAATAAGTAGGAATAGTTTCATTAGTTTTATTCTTCTACATCAGGAATATTTTGAATATTCGTCACTTTCATAATAGAAGCAACCACAATTTCTTTAAATATATAGTGCTAAGGCAAAGGTTAACATAATTGTATTAAATTTCTGAAGACATATTTATATCAGTGATCATAAATTACAATACTTTCTCAAAATTAGTAGTTTCCTCAGATGCTTACCCAATTAAATATTTAAATTGAGCTAATTTTCAACTCGAGATTTTCCTTGGCCTCACTTTTGAGCCATAATTGAAATCAATTATCATATATTATCCATAAATGTATTAATCCACTAAAAAATTATAAATGTATTAGAAAAGATGGATTACAAACCAATTGATGAATATTTATGTACTATCATTACTTATTAACCAAATGAATCAGTAATTACCTTTTATTACATATCTATATAAGGATTGGCAGCTATACTTTAGACATTATTTTAATATATTTTTCAGATATTGTAAGCATTATTCCTATTTTATACATGAGGAAATTGGACAAAATTTAAGAGATTCACTTAAGATCACACAGAAGAAAAATATGGTGTGAGGATTTGAACGTGGCGGTGTGCTTGGTTTGTTCCAATTCTAGGTGGGTTTTTTTTTTTTTCCTTGTTCCTGTTTTATTTCAAACTCCTATTTTTAAAGCATTCAGGATATAGAAGTAAAGCAAATAAAGTATGTGAACTCCATCCATGTGATTACTGCCTTTCAGGTAATTTTCCCACTTGATATAATTAGGTTTGTAAATATGACACTATTTTCCTGTACTATAATTTATGTAATTATACCACTCAGTTTAATTACCTTTGCAAGCTTGACATAGCACATTGGATTAGATCTATTCCACATGAGCCGGGCTCTACCTTGGCTACACTTCTGAGTTTTTGTGTGAATTTGAGAAAATTATACTTCTCTTTGCTTCAATTTTCATATTTGAAATATTGGAATAATGAGCCTTTCCAGAGTCTCCATAGGGATAATTTCTCCATGGACAATTCCAGATGGAAGAAACACACAAGTCATTATCATCACTGCCACCAAGTGCTGAAACATCAGTCAAAATCATCTTGGCAGAAAAATGGGAAGAAAACATTTCTTAAAATCTTCACTTACTTCCATTCCTAGGAGAAGGATACAGTAATTTTACAATACCCGTATAAAACCTGTAATATGCGATTCTAAATGAGAAAAACACAAACATATGGAATTGATTTTAGAAATACTATCGGCTATTTTGTATTGGTTTCTATATCTACTATTTGGAATTTTAGCAATTTGTTTTTTAAGCAGACCGATAAAAGACTAGAGATGTCAATAGTAGCTATATATATGCATGTATATAAACAGGTACGTACAATATGTAAACATATACACATATGTTTGTGAAAGCATTTGAGGAATATATAGTAATTCTAATATGATATCCTCTTTTGTTTAAGTGTAGATTACATATTTGTGACTGGAACTTCATGAATTTAGTAATAAAACATAAAATATCAACAGATACACATGGGGCACATCTTCTTGAAAGAAGGAAAAATGCACAACTGCAAAAATCAATGTCTCTAAACTTATTTTCAAATATGCTATAAAATATTGGAGAGAGGGGACCAGCAGATGGCATGGTGGTTTAGGGCACTGGACACTCCCACATGGCCAACCATGGTTCAAGTCCCAGACCTGGTGGCTTGCTTTCTCACTTTCCCTCTCTC